CCATCCTCAGCCTGCCAGGATGAGCACTGCTGATGGATGTTCCAGACACTGAACTTTATTTTTGTGGAATGTGTAATAAAAATATATACGTAGTGGGTCAGGGATGGCCAAAGATCTGAAAGTACAAATTCTTTACTTCAAGAGTTCTATTTGACATAATTCATCTTGATGTTAACACAATATCTGCTGAGTTCAGAGCTGCTGCACAAAATACCTCCCTTAATGACCAGCAGTTCACATAGCTAAGCAGAGAAGTCAGCATTCCTTTGGAAGGATAAGTTCTAAGAAACGATTAGCATATCTATTTCAGCTTGTCATTTTTTATTAACTCATGTGTAGAGTCATAATTATTCTATTACTCATGTTGACCTTTCAAGAGACTTCTCTTAACAAAAAGAAAGAAATCTTTTTATCTTTCTTATTTTCCATACCAGCATGAAAATTACTGTCACATAATTGATATAAATACTTATTACAGTAGAAATACTTATTATCTAATTGAACTGGATAATAATATTATACATGTTTATGATTAATCAATATGTAGCCAGGTGTTCTATAAATTACTGCTCAATAAATATTTGTCTGCTTTATTAGAATATGAATGATACTTTCAGAAGAATAATACCACACAAAGAAGCTAAGCTGTGAATATTAGGTTAAACTTTCCCTTCTATAAGCTACTTTCTAATTGTGGTAACTTTCACATATTATGCTAGTTTATTTCATTCTCATATTTATTTGAAATGTGTACTCTATTCAGTAAATAGGAGATGGATATTTGGAGTTTAGAAACTCACTTAAATTCACACAAGTGATGAAATTTGTACTTGGATTTACTAAATCCAAGTCCCACAGTGCCTGTCAGTATTTTAGCTCACTTCGGGTTGAAGGTTGTTGATGGCTTTAGCTATGAATAGTACTATTTCAGAGAATAAATCAGTGCTCTATGTAATTTACAACTTAAGAACAAGAAAATGAGAGCATCTTATAGAACAGAAGAAATCTAGAAGGTAAACAGTTGTTCTTTTCTCCACTCTGAATAATACCTTTTAGCTCCAGCACTCCACTGAGACCACTGTAGCAAAGCATGCTAATGATTGCCTAATTCTCAATCCAATGGCCAAATTTCCATCCTTTCTTTAGGTAGCATTTAGTGTTAGGTATCATTTCTTGTATACAACTCATGTTAATTGATGGAGGATAGTCAAATAGAATTTAGATTGTTCTAAGTGTCTAGAGATTTGAGAATGTGTCCCCTTTCTCTCATTGCATGTCAGTGTAAGATTTGGGTCCTTGAAATAGAACAATGGAAAGCCTATATCTATACCTGCATTCTTTTCCTTTCCAGATATGCTTTTAATATATGTTTCTCTTATTATACATTTCCTTAATTTATAGTGCTTACTGGTCAGTATGGTATTTCATTTTCCCTATGTACTATGAAATATTAGGTAATTTGGAGCCTGAAAACCCATTGTTATATTTAAAATATGAAGAGCTAGTGTGCTAGAAAAGTATATAATGGTTAGAAAAAGATAAGGCTGTAAGTTTACTGATTGTACCATATGGAATATCAGAAAGAGATTTAAATTGCTGAAGGAAAACACCAGGAGATGTTCTCTGTGTCTTTTTTTTTTTTTTTCTGGTACTGGGAATCGAACTCACAACCTTAAGCTTGCCAGGCAGGAGCTGTGCCACCGAGCTAAATCCCCAGCCCCCTCTGTGTCTTGTTCATTAAATAAATTATGAGGAGTAGGAATGAATAGCCATGACAATGAGAAAAGATAAAATTAGGAAAGCAAAGAGTTATTCTCAGGTAGGGTAACTTATCTATAAACACTTTGTGAAAAATGCCTAATTTAAGCCGCAGCAGTTTCTATACTATTACAGGTGACACGAGGTTAAATACTTCCCAGTAATCCTCTGAATGGGAATTGTATAAGATGTATGGTCCATATCCTTTCTCAAATAGAATCAGAAAGTTCTCCTCCCCTCTGTCCTGTCACATGCGCATAACTCTCCTTAGCACCTTACAGTCTGACAGAGTTTCTTGGATCATGGTTGTAAAATGCTGATCCAGAATCTTGCAATAACCTCCAAATTGACATCTACCTTCTCATACCACCTCTTTCAAATATGTCCTCCACATCAAAGGTGAAAAGAGATCTCAAGGGAGTCAGTCATCTAGGAAATGATTTCTGAACCCTTCAGGGTATCCTGCTAAGTTTTAGTAAAGCACCTACATATTGTCTTTGCCCAGCTTCCCCCTCTTAACCTGAGTTTTCCTTGTTTACCCATCTGAACAGTAAGGTTCAGCCACATTATCTCCTTGCACTTACCTTGCACCCCCACCTCCATACCTCACTGTGTTTGCATTTGCCATTCCCTTTATCTCGAGTTGTCATATTTCTTGATCTCAGCACTACTAGTACATCTGACAATCTGCATAATTATTCTTATGTGAGAGATATGCCCTGCAGACTATAGGTTGCTTAGCAATATCCCTGATCCACTCCTATCAGGACATGCTTTGTCTTATTGAGAACAACTGCTATCATGAAGATTCATATCACCTTCAGAAACAAGTCAAACATCATTGTCTCAGAGAAGATTTCTCATCAAAGAAGTCCTCTTCCAGTAAATGTACTCACTTCTCTGTGCTTTGCCATATGCTAAACAAAACTTTTCTGCTGTAATTATTATGTATCTGTAGAACATGTACTTGTTCAATGCTATAGCTGGTTGTCTGTGATGAGTCTATTGTTCTGGTTTGTATTACTTTCTGGTCCCACACTCAATATTTTAATACCATTTGTTTGACGTGAGTCATGATGAAAATATTTATACCCTGGAAATGGAAAAATGCTATAAATTAGGACTCTTCTTTCTTCCCCAGAGAGTTATTTATTAAACGTGTTTATTATGTACCATGCAGTTCTCTGGGCAGTAGGAATATACGGGACAAGAAAGATAGCATGTCATCTCACAAGTTTTACTAACTAGATTGTGAACTTCTCAATGAAAAGATTACTTCTCACTCATTTTTTTTATATCCTGATATTGGCACTTTGATTGATTCACACTAGACATTTGAAAAAAGTTAATAAAAATTTTATTTGAAAATATTTGAATTATGGATGTGAATTTCTTCAAAGCACTTTCTTGAATGATGCTTTTGCTTTTGTTTACTTCGAATTTAGAATGTATGCGATGAAAGAATGTTTTATTGGTTATTTCTGTATTTCTCAAGTTCAGTTATTCAGCAGGGAAGTTCTGACAAGCCCGAAGACAATTTTGAAGTTTCATAATGACTATTTTGAGCTTAGCAAAAGTGCTTTCTGTAATTTCATGTGATTACATTGACCATTCGGTTCAGCAAAGGCTCTTGCAAAATTAATCTTTCTCTTCCATTCTCCTTTACTCTTTGCTACATATTTTGACTCATTTATTGTTTTCTTTTCTTTTCATTACTTATTTTTGGTGATTCAGGCTTCTGCACCTGTGCTATATATTGGTTTTCTAAAGTCCTTTTTCTTAGAACATAAAATTAGCATATCTTTGCACTAGTGATTACCCCGGGAAGGAGAGGAATTACAAAAACAGGACTTAGTCTTGGAACTTCAACTATATTTGTCACTATTTCATTTTAAAAATCTCAAACAAAAATGGCCATTTCTTACGTTTTGTTAAAATTGGATATTGAGTAAATAAATGACTGTTTTTATCTACTGTGTGCATGTTTAAAATGTTTTAAAATTAATTATAAAGTAACAAAACATTTTGTTTAAAAATGAGGCAATATAAGAAAGCATAAAACAGATTAATATATGAATACTTGGTAGTTGTTTCTAAACATTTATAGTCAGTCTGATGTGGGTACTCAGCACCTACCTTGGATTTGGATAATTGCTGTCATGAGTGCGTTCATATACAACTTGGTATTTGTCCTGCTTGTGGGCACAGAAAACTACAACACCCCTTTGTGATATATTTATGGACACTTTTTACTTTATATAAATGGACATAATGCTTAAGTTTTTCCAGCAAACGCAGCACACCATAATTTAATTCTTTCATAACAATTGTCATGCTTATACTTATTTGCTTGTCTGCTGTTGGTATCTCCCACTGATTTCAAAGCTTCAGAAAGGCAGAATGCCAGTCCTTATAAAGCAAAATATAGCTAGGATTTAATCTACTGCTTGTAATATATATATATACACACACATCACTCACAATATGTGTCTCCTCAACATCCTTTTATTTATTTTTAATATTTTGGGTTTTTCCAGTACCAGGAATCGAACTCATGACCTTGTGCTTGCCAGGCAAGCACTGTGCCACTGAGCTAAACCCCCAGCCCCTCAACATCTTATTTAAATAAATATATAGGTACTTTGTTATTTTCTAGATTATGTAGTATTCCATTCAATAATATATCACAACTCACAGTAATTTTCTCTAGGATATTTGCTTTTATTTCCTCACTATAGTTCCAAGAAGTCTCCTTTGTACTCTTTTTGTATAGATTTTCAAGGTAAATGGAAAGCACAGAATTTAGAAGAGGTTGTTGAGAAACGTGAAGGATCTGTGGTAACATCTCTGAGGCAAAAAATATATGTTACCTGATTTTCTTGTGAGTACGGGCATAGTTCGAGCAGAATAATCTTTTAAAATTTCTCAAGTCAAATCTTCTGGGACTAAACAACCCTAAGGAATTATGAGAGAAGTGTGACTACTGGTAACTAGTCTTAGAATGAAGAAGGCAAAGGGATTGAATCACCAAAAGTCAATAAATTTTGTGGCACTGTGAACAGTAGTACTGGGCTCCATGGTCTTCTTTTATATTTGTCCGGATGTCCTATAGCTAAACAAAACAGCTTACAAACAACTTTTTAAGATGAATCCTATTTTCTGCATTAAGTTTTGCTTTTCAGTGAGACAAAAGCTTAAAATTATTAAACTTTATTGTAAAAATAATTTACCAAAACCCTGTCTCTGAAGCTCTGTATAGACCTCAGATATGGTGAAGTAGGTGCTTTCTGAGGGTGGAGGAAACTTTACTTTAGCACTTCCTGAATTTCTTGCATATCCTCTTTGATGTTGTCCTGCAAGAGAGAGTACAAATACATGCATTTGTTGGGAACATCCAAATTATGGGTTTGATTAGTTTCAGACATGAACAGACTCTCACTTAGAATCAATTCATGCCTTCATTATTAAACTAAATCACAGATGTTACGCACTCTTGCCTCTTCAGGTTGAATACCAGATCCCCAAGTAAGTCTCAGTAGAGGTATCATATGTGAATTTGCTGAAGACTGATTGCACTGACAATGAACTTCATTCATCCTTTCTATAATTAAACACGCAGAGAGATGTGAAAGATGTTCAGGTATATTTTTCTTTCTTTGCTAAGAACGGTGATGTATAAACAGCTATGGTGTTCAGGTATACACTTATTGCAGAAACACTCACAGTCTCTAGATTCCATTGTGGCCTATGAAAGCAGTAGCTGTCTCTTCATAGTTGTGAAATGAAATTTTCAGGACGTGGATTAAAACATAGATCTTGTGAGTAAAAAGCTCTGAAGTCCACAGCAGCTATTAATGCTGTGCTAAACTCATTCCCAATAAAAAAAAAGCAACAAAAAAGCCAAAGGTGGGAGAACTTTGGTGAACACAATCAGAATGAAATCATACCACATGGCTTATAAAAGTGTTAAAAACAAAACAGTTGGAAGGAAAATAAAGCAATTATACAGACTGCCTGTTTGAGAAAATTTCAATTAAATGAGGTTTTCTTATATGAAGTTGTGATAGCTAGGCTCATTTTGCTTTACATCAGCAGCAGAACCATGAGCTATTTGCTTTACTTTTGAACTTGATATCTTCCACTGCCTAGATTTAGGCATCCTGAATGTAAATCATGTGTTTCTGAAGGCCAGGGAGCACAGGCAGTTAGAATTTACCTTGTAAATACTGCTAAGTATTTTGAGGGCCCTTTCACCTACTTGAGGTGAGAATTCACCATCTGCTTTGAAACTGCAGAGACAGTCAAAACCCCATCTAGTTGACTTACATAATTCTTTCAAGGAGAAAGGAAGCCCTGGGCCACTGAATGTCAAAGCTGCTCATTGCTCAGCATAGCTGAGTGCAGCGTCAGCAGTGCTGCGAGAGAGATTTGAAGGTGAATGACTGCACAAGTCTGAAGCCAAGAGTCTGGGCAGTAGACAGTGATTAAAAAAGAAGCCTTCATACATATCATTTGTTAAAACCAAACCCTCAGGAGAATAATGATTTCCTTCCTAAATTAACTTTCCTTATACCTACGAGTTAAAAGGCACCGTGGCGATAGATTGATGATTCTGAGCTGTCACTTAAACTTCTGCGTGAAGAAAATGGAATGATGAAAAAGCATCAAATGACTACTGCATCACTACCCAACCCTACCCACATAAATTATACACACAAACATATATAGGGATTATATATAAATTATGCATACAAGTTGATTTAAAAAGATATACCGAATAAAAATTAATACACCAACTGTCGACCGCAGCACTAACGTGACAGAAATTGACTTCTTGCGTGACCATCTGAAAGGATCCAGATTAAGGAAAAAGAAACTTCCTGATGTAAACCTTCAGGAAATGTTCTTAAGGAACAACAGCAAATGAATAAATATTTGTTGGAGAAAAATCTAAGAAATTATAATAAAGAAGGCAGAAACCTATTGTTTTTAAACCAAAACTATTCGCTTTCCTGTGCCATCTCAGCAAGGTGTGGTCTCCACTCAGATTTCCATATTTAAGAACGGAAGACTCTTATCTCCCTTTGTTCCGGTTTGAAGACCTTTCTTTCTGGGAGTGTTAGGCTACTAGCATTACTTTTCCTTCCCCAACTCCCTATTCTGAAGCCAAGCCCTGGGTGAGAGTAAGAAATGAGAGGATCCCTTCAACTGCCCAGTTCCCATGTAGGAAGCAAAGTTCTGCTTTGGGTGTGGGAAGCTGAGATTATGGGCCCTGATTTCCTAGATCACCCTTTTCCTGGCTTGCAAGGCCTGATCAACACACCAATCAGAAAGTCAAGAGGACCTCAGAATGTTTCTCCACACCTCCTCTCAACCAAGTACTCAGCTTCTGGAATTGGCGTGTGTCTCAGACAGATGTTTGCCATTTTTGCCATCTACCAACCCAGCAGTTGGGGGCAGGGAAGTAGACAAGCATGTCAAAAACTAGGTAGCAAATCATCTCATCTCAAATGGACTTACTTCCTTTGCGTCACATTTTGGAGAAGTTCAAACAAAAGGGAGCTCTCAAGAGCCAGAGATATTATGGTGAGAGGCACCTGACAGAAATAACCCAAGATACAGTCTAAATTGTATGCAGGCTAATTTGCAGGAGAGAACTATGGAGTAAGATAGCTGGGAGGAACCATGCTGGGGTAAAACAAACAAAAAATCAAAAAATGACTTCAAAATGTCCTTCAGAGGAGACTGGATTATTTTGTAGGATAATTTATGTTTCAGGGTGCTGTGGACAATAGGGAAATCACCGAGTAATCAGTGAAGTTGAACAGATAAAAGCCATGAGACAAGAGGAAACAGAGCTCCACCAAATCCACTCATTCCAGGCAACCTTGAGCAAGCCCACAGCTCTGCCATTTTAAGGAGCAACTCAGAGATTTCTTACTCAGGGGACGGGTGGACCTCAGTGAAGTAATCTAGCCAGTCACTAGGTCAAAAACAAGCAAATAATAATAACAAACCCCTGGGAGAGGATGGGATAAGTCACTAGAGGTGTAAACAGTATATTTTCTAAAATATCTAGTTTTAAATGAAAAAGTATGAAACATGTAGAGAAACAAGGAAGTATAACCCATTTACCAGAAGAACAAACCAAACACCATAAATTGCCTATGCGAACGATAAAATAACACATTTGCTAGGGAAAGGTTTTAAACACTGTAATTAAACAAGGAACTGCCAACTAAAAGCATTGTATCCAGCAAAGCTATACTTAAAAGAATAAAGGTAAAATACTGCTTCCCAGGTAAACAGAAAGTAAATTAATTTGTAGCTAGCAGTCTTGACTTATAAGAAATAATAACAGAAGTGCTTAGGCTAAAAGCAAGTGAGCACAGAAAGTAATTCAAATACACAAGAAAGGGCATCGGCAAAGGTAATTAAGTAATTATATAAAACAAAATAGGAATGGATTTCTTCTTTCTTCTTTTAACAGATTTCAAAAACAATTGTATACAACGATACAGAATATGTTTGGTTCTGCAACATAAAAATGTAATGAACGTATATTTTTCAGTAATAGCACAATGAAAGGTTACAACAAAACTGTATGGAGGTAGGGAGATGACTCTGTATAACAAAATAAACACTGTAAATACGCATTTTCGGATTCATCATACTTGGAGATGCAACCTGAATGATGAGAATACCACAAAAAATAAAGCTATATAGGAGCATGTCTGTATATCACTGTAACTGAAAAAATATGTCTGAAGCTAATTCTAAAAGATACATATAGTGAACCTTAGAATAACTACTAAAACAAAAAATACGGTGGAAAACATCATAAAAAGTAATACTGAATTAATATTCACCAACACAAAGAAACAAAAGAAGAATAAGGGGAAAATACTATAACTATAATGAAAACAAAAAGTAAAGTACTAGACATAAATCCACCCATATTAATATTAACATTAATCATAAACAAACTAAATTATCTGAGCAAAAGGCAAAAGTATTTCAGGCTGCAGACTGGATTTAAAAAACTAAACATGATCCAACTATGTCGCATCTGTAAGAGACACAATTTTGTTTCAGAGTTGCATAATAATAAAAAATAGAAAGGTAGCAAAGACATATCATGTCAACAGTAATGTCAAGAGATCTGGCGTTGCTATAAGGGTATCAGACAAAATAGACTGCAAAGCAAAAACTACTAGAAATAAAGAGGGCAATTATAACTATTAAAACTCAATTAGAAAGTTAACAATTATGAGTACTTGTGTATCTGATAAGAGAACACAAAATTCCATGAAAGAAGAGCTAAGAAAAATGAAAGGAGAAGTAGATAACTAAAAATAAAAGCTGTATAATTCATTAACACACTTCAATAATGGCTAGGGCAAATGGACAAATGATCAGTAAGGAAATAGATGACTTCAGCAATACCGTAAAGCAGATCTAACCGACCTTTATAGAACAGTCCACCCAACAATAGAATGTATATTCACCAAAATTACACATGGAACACTGTCATGGTAGATCATATACTAGGCCATAAAGGAAACCTCAGTAATTTTAAACATAATGCGTACCCTGTTCTGCAACCACAATAAAATAAAATTAGGAGTGAGTAACAGGGAAGCAATTGGGGAACTCATCAATATGTGGAAATTAAATAGCATGCTTATAAAGGAGTCTTAGCCAGGCATGGTAGCACATGCCTCCAATGCCAACATTCTGGGAGGCTGAAGCAGGAGGATCATAAGTTCCATTCCCATATGGGAAACTTAGTGAGGAGGAAGGAAAGGAGGAAAGAAGGAAGGAAGGAAAGAAGGAAGGAAGGAAGGAAG